GTCACAGATTTATGTCTGTTTATTTTTGGTTGTTGCGTGGTCTTTGTTATCTTTTCCAAAGCTGAATACATTGTAACCTCAGAATGGAAAATATGCATTGTGGCTGTCATTCACAGGCAGTCCAAACATACTTCTCACTAAATGCCTGTGACTTTTGCTGTTTGCTGTGACTTCTGTGGAAATGACTAAAATGCAGCTTCCTAGGCACTAGGCTTGTTAGACAAGGTCGCCTTGAATCAGTTGAAGGGAAGTCCACTCCAAAAGGTACACCTGTTCCCCCCAGAAAGACTTTATTAGAGTTTCAGAGCAAACATGGCACCGGTGTCAATAGCCGTAGGATTAATAGTCATCACATGTCAAAACATTTAGTTTGCATGAAGTATTTCAAAATAACGATAAATACATAACCATTTCTAAAACATCATAAATTTAATGTTTACCCCATTGATTGTGACCGCAAAATGAATAAAAAGATCCTGCGTTTCCCCAGCCACAAAAAAATCCTCTTTTGGCCGTTCGCACTCCCAGGTTGATTGAATGACATCGCCAGAAACGATGCATGTACAGTGTACATGTACATGGCGCACAGTAGGCTACATGTAGTATTACATGCAACAGACCACATTGTGTTTGATGTAGCTTCGGCCGACAGGGCAAACACTGTTTCAGTTCAAGAAACACACGGTAGGACTGTCTTTTAATTTCTACCTTGAACTAAGACAGTGTTTGCCAGTGGTTTCAAGCTACATCAAACACAATGTGGTCTATTGCGGGCGATATTGTATGTACTGTGTGCTATGTACATGTACTGTACACTCTACATGTATCATTCTGACGATGACGTCATCCAATCAGCCTGGGAGCACGAATGGCCCAAAGGGGATTTTTGTGGGGGGGAAACGCAGGATCATTTTATTCATTTTGCGGTCACAATTAATGGGGTAAACATTAAATTTATGATGTTTTTGAAATGGTTATTTGTTTATTGTTATTTTGAAATACTTCAGGCGAACTAAATGCTTTCTATTTCTGTAACCCTTTAACTGTACGAATTAGAGTTTGAGGATAACAGATTTCTTCAGTACTTGTACATGTACTTCTAACCTTAACGTCACTGCTGACTTCAGCTGGCATATGAAGCATGGTTAACATCATTTGCTTCATTTTTAGTGACAACTCAAGTGTTGTGATGAACTCAACAGCAAAGGTGTCAGTGATGGCAACAGCAAATACAAACAGAGCAATAACAGCAGTGAAGAGGCACGTTATCTGGCCCCCCTCCCCACAAGAAAGAAATGCCAGCATGTTTGGGCAAAACAGAGACAACATTGGAGAGCACTCATTGCATGGAAGGTTTGGTTTGCCCAGGCCTGTTTTTCTCTTATTCATTCAGAGCTGCTTGACATTTGTCGATTTGCTTTTCCCTGACATCCATTCACGGCGCACCTCCTTTGGGCTTCTTGGCCCAGAGCCAAACAGCAGAAGCGGCAATCATTTGGCCTGGGAAGAGGTGATTGAGTAAGAGGGAGCCTGATTCCGTTTTGGCAGTTGTACAATGAATTTGTCTGGTTTCCCCCTTTATCTTGGCCTTAGGCCCTGCTTGTTTGGAGACATGTTGTAAAGTTCTTGGTTCAGTCTGCTGTTTGATTTGTACATGAACAAACCTGCCATACAATTTCTGCAACACCATCTTGCCGTTTTGGTAACTGCTCACTGATGGAATAAATTTCACAGTTTTTTATATGTTGTTTTATGTTGTGATTGATATTTATTTTTCAGTTCATTGTAGATACTGTTTGTAATGTTTGTTGATCATTTGCATTTAACTAAGTTATAGACAGTAGAGTGGTGCTTTATCCTAATTGTACTAATGTTGTGGCCGAATTCTTCATAGATTCCTTTGGAATCTCTTGGAGGTGATTAAATTGCTATAAGAAGTCTCCAAAATGTTTTTTTTTTTCATTTTATTCTTATTTTATGAACTAAGATTTAAACTATTGGAGAAAAGATATAACTCCATTGAAATGGCAGAGAAATATCGCTTTGTGTATTAACCCAAAGAGATGTGGCTTAGGTTTTTGTAGACAGTTATCACACAGTTTGGTCGATGGATGGCTGCTGTAAGCAGAAATACACCTAGTTTTTTTTTTTTTGGTCCAGCCAGCAATTAGTTGCTATCCCTACAGCTTACAAGTTCAAGTAGCCTGTTTGCTTCTAATTGCCATCCTAACCATCTCTGTCGGTTCCGGTGCCTGGCTGTCCGGAAAATGACGACTAGACCCGAGATGCTAACGGAACAGGCGACCAGGAAAATAGCTTAATCTCTCTTGCCTGCTCATTTGGGCCTCTGTTCCCCCGTGGAGCCTGAACACATACCATCCATCTTTGGTGGGGCCGTGGATAGTCAGAGTGTTTGTTGTCCAGGGATGCCTTCCTCTCCCGCCCCCCCTCTCTTTTTCTCTCTCTCTGGCTGGAAACATCACCGGCTGCCTTTCCATTTGTCTTGTGGCTGCCATTGGTCAGCCTTCAGTGTTGTTCTTTTACAGTCACTCGTTAGGCTAAAGATTTGAGCAAAGTGCCTTTCATATCTCATGTTGTTGCTGGAGAACTGTTGTTGCTGAAAGGAATGCAGCCACTTAGCGTTTTTTTCCTACGCTCTCAACTTTTTTCTTTAAAATCTTGAAAACTTTGGTGGGCTTTGAACAGTGTTTGGTTTCATTCCCCCCCCCCACAAAATTATTATTGTGAAAGTAATGATATATAATACGGCAAAGGTTAAAGGGATTGTCTTGATAGTGCCTGAATAAAAGCTGACCTGAGCTAAGCCATTAATTAACCATCTGATCACTGTGATTCGTGACCACTTTACAACTGCCAGCAAAACAGGAAACCGCTAGCAGTTACAGCTTAGATCATCAGTAATTTATCTCTCAAGACATTTGACCGTTTTTTAATCCTGTCTTACTGTCTCGCTCTCCCACATCAGAAGAACTCTGGACTCGGAGAAAAACTGGAATTTCTCTCACTCCAAAAAAAGTGTACCACTGCAACCAGTTTGTTTGATGTGGCATCTTGTGGCTAACCGCAGAACATTTAGCGCCATGCTAACCCTACCATGTCACAACACATTCTAATCCATCAGGTTGGAGCTATATTTACCTTAGCTTGCTGGAGGGGGGGTTCAATCTGGCTCTGCTCCACAAATTACCCGATCTAGATTTGGAGATTGTAACAGAATACTGGGGCCTACTTGCCTGACCTCCCAGCTTGTCATATTTTGAATGAATGTCTCAGTCGTGGTCTGCAGAGATCTGGTCTTTTTATAACCTTTGATTGATGTTTTTTGGTGGATGTGCCCACCTGGTCTGTGGAAACCGTATCGTTCGTGATTATTTAAAACTGACAGAGAGTGATTCTTCTCCTGTTGTGACGATTGTCACAGCGGCTCAACATTGAGCAATGATCTCTAGAATTGCAAACAAGATAGGCTGAAGACCTGTACCTGTAGAAGTGGTAAGGAGACATTTCTGTCCAGGGAAAATTTTGAAACTATTTTGGCATGAGCCAAAGGATATGAAACACATCTTGAGACATACTTTTGGAAATTCTTTATTTCCAAATATAATTCTTGTGTTAAAATATCACATTTAATGTGTTGTGATAACATGTAAGTCCAGTTATGATTAATAATTACCCTAAAATATGCCGTGGATCAGGACAGTTTAGAAGTGTTTGAATTGTCAGTTTGTGGCTATATAATTGATTGCTGAGCTTGCTTACAGGTTTCCCTGCACATCTGTAAGAATACCACCTTGGTTGTTGTCCAGACCTTTGCCGAGCTCAGGTCTGGTTCACCCAGCCAGCCAGCTCCACCTGAGCCTGGCTGAGATGCCTCCACACAGTGATGGAGTATCTCGCTTCATCACTCCACATGCCTCATCTGCTCCTCTCTCTCTCTCTCTTTCTTTCTCCCCGCCTCCCGCGTTGCTAGGGATCGCCAAGGAGTCTGCAATTGATTTCCTGTGGCCTCAGAGTCCAGTGTTAAACCCCCCCAAGAAAAAAGGAACAGCCACACACCTGAAAATTTAATCCCGACAGCTAAGCATGTCGGATTTCTCACTGTAGCTTTGCTGATCGATGCCTCACTACTCGGCCCACAATAACCATCCGCATCTTTCTTTTTGTCTCACTTCCCTTTTATTGTTGAGAAATAAAGGGAGCAAACTTTAATAAGACTTTATTGAAGAACCTCAGGTGATGTTTTAAAGCCTTGTGCTGTACTAGAGCAGACAGGAGAACTAGTCGAAACGAGGGGTTTTTTATTAAGACTGGAGTGAAACATTAACCTGTTGGATTTGAGTTGACAGGCCAGTCTAATGCTGAATCTGTGTCATTGCTCTCGTGAGCACCTCGTATGCCGTATAGAGTTGTTTTCTTCCACAATAGTTTGCTGCTAGTGTAGTTTATTAGCTCTTGGATTTGAAAGTATAACCGCTGTGCTGGAATGCAATATCCAGGGGTGGAATTTTTGTTTAATTTGATTTGTCGCACATTCTTGTCGAATTCGTCTGCCTGGATGCTGAAGTACATGTACCAAGACGATGACTTTGTGCTCAATCGCAAATTTTGTCGTGTACCGCAGAGTTTTTTGTTTGACCAATCATGAATGGCTACCTGCCGATGAATGAGTGAAATTAATTTGAGTATGCAATTGTGAACATACTCAGACTTAGGTTTTACGCATGTATATCAAAACCATGCAGCTGTGTGCGTTTTGCCTAGTTTTTCATGTCACCAGGATTAAGTGAAAGAATATAAGTTGGAATATTTTGTAGTGGTATTGTCTTTTATTTCCCACTTGTTTCTCTTTCTTCAGTGATCATCAAAACAGAGAGCTTATTAGAAACCTCCTTTAAGATACCTCGCAGTAAATCTGTCCCATCTTATTTGAACATGCATTTGTTAAATACAAATCCGTCTGTTCATTTTTTTTTCTGCAGAGTACAAGTGTTCCCAAGAAAGAGGAAAAGTTCAAGAATTACCTCCGTTCAGCATTCCACATCTCCGAAGCAAAGGTATGTAAGCACAACTGCACACATCAATTTAGGCTCATCATTCTCTTGATCCCTTATTTGCTTTGTGTACACCCCATCGAGTGCGCTATTCTCAGTGTCCAGTTGGCTGGTACATTCGCCTGATTTCCTTCCCCCTTGGATTGGCTTACCTGCTAGAAATTTATCCAGGTGCTGGGATAATGTTGGTGTGTCAGGTCATCTGTCAAAGCACTAATGGCCTGAACACCTGATAAATGTCCTTGCAGCATGGCCATAGGCAGACACTGAATGACCTTTCACCTCCTGTGAGCCTTTTTTATCATGTAGTTCAGTCTTTGACAAAATCCTAAATCAAGATCCCTCTTTCTACTGTTTCTGCTGCTATTATAGACAAGTATCATTGACATTCCACTGTAGAATTATGCATGTGCTTGAGCCGCTAATTTAAGAGTCCGAACCCATTTCCAGTCAAGCTGCACATACACCCACAGCGTTAACAGTACTAATTGAAATTAATATGGAGCTAGTGGCTTCAATATCCACCAGCGGTAAGCAAGAGCCTAGCCATAAATTACAATCACATCAGTAACTGTTTGATGTGCCGAAAGCTGCAGTCTTGAGTCACGCATTTACGCAGAAATGGATAACGAGGTTGTTATTACGACTGTCGAATGGAGAGGGGGCGTAAATTGCCTATTTCAGATGCAGGTTCCCCCCCCCCTTTTCTCATAAGCCAACAATACGTTTTCCCTTGAAGTTCATTTCCTAGGTAGCGCAGTTTTTCATCATTCAGGTTCTGTTTGCTTCATGTTGAAAAATCTTATTCACAAAATGTTTCAAGGGAAGTGATGGGGTTGGACTGTGTCATTTCCCGGCTTTGAAAAGAGTTGTACGCAAAGAAAATAATCGTTCATTCTGCTGATGCAGCTCCCTTCTCCCGCGATGAAGGGTCGTCAAACTTTTGTGAGGTTGGAAAACTCTTCCTGAAGGTATAGTTTGGCATTACACTAAGGTTGAGCATGCAAGTTGATAATGAATGTTTCTGAGTACAGTGATGAAAAGAATAATTTTGTGAGTTGACAGAGTAGCGACCAATCAGAGGGGAATGACATATTCCATCTGTCATTGACTAAAGTCATTTGTTTCTATTGATGAATGTGCAGTAATAAATCATGACAACCAATATGTGTTTAAAGAGAGAAAGCTTACAGATTAAGACAAACCCAACAGTCACATCTGTTAATAAATCCAAGATGGCTGCTGCTGCCAAAGGTCACCATTTCTTTTTACTTTTCCCAGAAACTACAAGATCTCTGGGGGTGGTACCGAGCTTCCCTTCAGAAGTGAATCAAGCTGACTAGGTTCACCTGAGTCCCTCCTTGCTTCCCTTCCGCCCCCCCCCCCCCCACTGCCCCCTTCCCTTCTATACTTCATGTATCCAGCCCGCAACATCACTCATAGTTAGTCACGGCCGGAAGACTTCCTCCCAAGTCACTGCTGTTTCATCCCCAGGTTCTCAACCAAGAACATTATTTTCTGTATTTGTTTCTCCGTGACTCTTTGCAGAGGGCATTTTAGCTCTTATGTAGAATACTTCTCCCCCCCCCAAAAAAAAGTGCTGAAATTGCCTGCACTGGTTAGACCCAATTGAGGAAATTATTTCAGTTCATAGCTCCAGTGAATTTGAACCTGCCCATTTATTCATTATTTGAAAAAAGGAATGAGTAAGAATGATTGTGTTTCAGAGGAAATCAAACGTTAAGAATATTTCTGAAGTGGAGATGTTGCTATGTAAAAAAAAAATTCTAGAGAAGTTATTTGGTAATTTTCAAAAGATATTTATCGTGAAGGTGCCTTAAATTTTTTGCAGGAGTTTTACACTTGTGATCATTCTAAAAATTAATTGTCCGGATTTGAAAGACCCACAACCTCCAAGATGCGCATTGTTTTCATCAGGGTAATCAAGATTACCGGTAGATGCTGCCAGTCCGATACCATTTCTAATAAGCGTATACGAAAGCACCGCTGTTGAAGAGAAATAAGGAGATAGTCACTTCCAGCTGAGGACTCTGTCCGGCGTAGCATCAGAGCCCAAGATTCTGACAAGAATGAGCAGGGAACCAGCCCAAACGTCATAGGCTTTGCATGACACTTTGGCTGGTGACTCGTTTTGTTTGCTTTTTGTCGGCTTTTTGTTTTGTTTTCAGAAATGTGTGTAGTATGGCCAGTTACGATTGATGTAATCCTGCTTTGTAGACATGTTAACACATGTAATAACATTCACTCATTGTCTTGTGATGTTTCTTATGTGGTTAGTTCCTTCATGTATTAAGTGTTTGTCCAGGTTCTTCAAGGTCCCAAAATGTCGGTGAAAGTGCTGGAAAATCCTTGTATTGTTATTTTTCCATTGAAATAAAACATCAAGTTTGCATTGAAAAGAAACTTGAGTTACCTTTTGTCTTTGTTACCTGCGGCCAGTTTGCCCTAGCAAACAGCGAACCGCATCATCCAACTTTTACAAAGTTGAGTTGTTTGATCGAATATTTAATCGAATTAGTTGATTAACATATTGATTGATTAATCAACCTTAAGAGTTTGTGATGCTGTATGGAAATTGATTTATGAAGTCGTTATGTAAGGAAGCCGTCCATTGCTCGAATGGATTGCATTTAATTCATTTTTATGTCACTGGGATCGCTGAATAGTTGATTCGTTTGACTGATGAATAATTTTTGGACGGTTTATCTGATCAATCAAATCAGTTGATCAGTGAAAAGTTGCTTGTACCCATGTGACCGAGTTAATTTCATTTAGGAATGAATAAGCTAGTTCGGTATTTTAAAAAGTCAAGGTCTTCCGGGAACACAGCGCGCGTGAGTCAGCGTATGGCCGGGTGCCCTGATATCGCTTGTGCGCGTAGCTGTTCCCGAATAGTCTCGTACAGAGCATGTGCTGTTGGAATACCTGTTGGAACTGGCTCATTGTTGAATTGATTCAGCATTGCTATGTATGCAGGCATGAAGAACACACAGCGTTCATCTGGTAGGCACCTTTTACATAGCTCGTGCCCCCCTTCCCCAAAAGAAAAGTGTGTTGAACTTGGCACAGGACAAAGGTTGATCTTGTGTAAGATTTCCTGCCGACAATTTCGAAGATCCCTTCCCTCACTTTTTATTTATGGGAATCAATTCCTGTTTGGTGTGGAGAGGACTTACAGTTTATATCGCCATCCAAACATAGTTCTTCCCTCGGCCCACCTTGCCTCGGGCGCTGGCATGGACGGCAGGCCACGTGTCAGATTTAATTCCCTTCAGGAGCTGAAATCTCCAAAGTTGGAACGTCTGCAACAACTGTGATCATAACAGGTGGAGAATAACAGGTTATTAATGCGGTCAATAAACCAGACAACCTTCAGACGTGATCTGATGAAGAAGCTGTTCACTAATTCGAAGCATTAATTGTTAGTGGTCTTCAGAAAATGGCCATAATTTAATGTTGATTCTTTGTCGTGGTCTTTATTCCAGACGTCCGTAGTCTGTTCGTCCGCTCTCTTCAATTCCTCCCACAACCCAAATTGTTTTTACTTTCAAAGGCGGCCTGTATTTATTGTAGAGACTCTGTTGTCCCGCCTTTATTAATGAGCGCTTTCCCAAGCCCACCTCTATCGATATTTCATATTGTGACGGGTAGATTAAAGGAGACGGATCGGTTGCGGTAAACCTCGCTTTTACAGACGTCTCAGCATGTCATGAGTTGGCCCGATTCGCATGTCATGTCCAACGCGTCTGGCCCGGTACTGGACCCCCGTCTGCAGGGCGCAACTCGTCGCCATGCCTTGCGCGTGCATCCTGCTCGGACAACTCGAGCTTCTTGTTAATTGGCTACAAGTTTGGCCCCGCGTAACAACACGGGTATTACACATGGCAAAGTGGGCTAGTCATGTCCAGCTTGGATATGTCAATGTGCGATGACAAATTGTAGTCTTGCTTGTCTCTCCCAGGGGTAGCAGCCAGGGAGAAGTCCAGGGTTTTTTCAACCGTCGTGGTGTCTACTGCCGTAGGCCAACTGCACCTTGTGAGCCATTTGAAATACAAAGTCTCCACGTTACAGAGTGTACCTTGAAAAATACGCTTAGCGCAGACTTATCGTAGCTAATCGTTGAAGGCAAAATCCAGTACAAATTGTTTAATACCGCACTGGGCTTGTCCTCCATTTGAACTCGAGTGTATCACGCATGGATGGTTGATTCACTGTTACCCCCAGGACGTATTGAAATCGGAGGGCACAGGCCTGTTCTGTTATCAAATTGTTGATTATGTTTTCAGAAAGTTAATTTCTGTTTTAAATACTACATAATATGAGTAAGACGGTTATAGTGGGATGTTTTCCACACAAAAGTGACTTCAGTCCCTTGTTTGTGTGTTCAATCGCTGGAAAAGATTTTTGTTTGCTTGATGGTTTAATATTTCTGATTGGTGGGATCTTGGCCGAATGAAAGAAGAGATAAAGGCAAGGGTCATAACTACTGGTCTGGTTTTTGTTTGTTTTCTATTCGTTTTTGTTTTGTTTTGTTTTGTTTTGCGCGAGTGCAGTACTGGTGAATTTTGGGTGTTGGTGACTTCATTTTCTGTGTCCCTCGAAATGTTTCTTCATCAAGCGTTAATTTAACATTTGCATCGATTTCACTCGGTAAATAACGTCAACATCAGTTGTGACGCTCTGTAAAAAGATATATGTTCAGTGCCTGGTACCCGAATCTCATTTTTGGTTTGCGCTATCGTAAGGGAACCAGTCATCGCGACGCTTTGAGCCGTTGATGGTTGACATACATGTACTTGGATGGCATGTCACCGTCTCAGTTGAAAGTTGCCGAGTTCCCAGATTCCAAGCAAGTCATCCGTTCACGAGTAAGACTACCAATTACTGATGTCGTTCCCAAACCAGCCCTGCACAGACCAGAACGGAAACGTTTATGTGAACCGGTGGCGGGTTTGTTTCCCCCACGCGTCTACGCCGAATGCGTTGCCACCTGCCGACGATAATTGAGATAAAACAGTGTCATTTCCCCTCCAAAGAACAGTTTGCAGAGCTGTGAACACATTCAATTCTCTTAGCGGAAGGGAAATGTCTGTGCTGAGATGTCCATTGCTAATCCTAATCGTGTCTGGTAAAATCTTTGACTTTCGCCGGTGAACACACCGATATTCGGCTCTTCTGTTAGTAAGTCACACATTTTGTAATTGTGAAGTCTTCGTCCGACCCTACCACAAAGGCATTTGGTTTCATCCTCTCGTGATGCTTTTTCTGTTTTGGCATTGAGGGCTTTTCTCATTTTGTCTTGATTTAAAACTTGGAGTCTTAAACTCAGTACTAGGGAAGGGGAGATATTTAAGGTAGATTTGACCGACTTGCGGACTTTTGTAAGTTCACCGGTATATTGAGCAATCGAAGTTGGGTTTCTAGTTGGGAGTGTTATCAGGAGATGTGTCTGCCTATCGTCTCAGCTGTGCTATGCCCGTTTCGCGGGGCTATTCCGGTGAGAGGTGCGAGCTGCCAATGCGACCAATAAAAACGCGCCCGTTGGCAAGTCCTGGTCAGCCAATCGTTGGAGCGCTCGAACAGGTGGGCTTCTAATCGCGATATCCGTGTTTGTTCTTCCGATTCCCTGGCTCTCTGCATCGTCTCTAGCAATTATCTAGACCTAAATATCCCATCCCCAGGTTCAAGATCAATAATGAAAAGTAGGACGATGTGCTGGATTGGGGTTAGTGGCCATTCAGCCCCGAAGTTACCGGGGACTATCCTTGCCTGGAAGAGGCAGAATCGGGTAAATGTGGCAGGCTTCCCCCTCCCCCTCCCCGTAGGGTTATTCTGTGACCCGGTCGTCTGTCTGAAATCAGGGGCTGAAATTCCCCCGACCGGAACTTCGAAATCTCCTTGGCCCATGCGCAGCTGAGACGCACGTCAGACCATGGTCAGAGGTTCACGTCGGTAGCAGGGAATTAAGTACGATTCCGGTGGTTGATATCAAACATGGTTTCCTTGAATAAAATACGATCAGCGTTTTCCTGCTCGACATAATGCCGACCACCAGGATTCTTCTCCCTGCGCACACAAGGTCACTAACAAGGTATCTGCGTTAGCCTACCAGGGGAGTCTGGCTGTAGGTAAAAAAAAGAGACAAACTTTAGTTTGACAAATTGGCTTGGGCAGTGAGAATACTCCCAGTCCAATACATGCAAAGAAAGATGGTACAGAAGGTGAAGAGAATATTGGTGTAATGATCAGATACCCAGCTTTAGGCCAAAAAGTGAGACTAAAGGTTAGCTTACAGCTCGCAGGTTTGCACATTTACGACATTTGATGATCTATTGCGTTGTCATGTGGTTTTTTTTTTTTTTTTTTGGTTGGTCTGGTCAACTGTTGTAGGACTAACCGAAGGTGATAACAGATGTATTGAATAATCAAAATGATTGGCATCGATCTATTTTACACTTTGGTCGTGGGTTGATGTGATCTTGGAGCGGTTATGTGAGGACTTGTGGTGACTACATTACGAGTCGTGTTCCACCTGAGTGACCCTGGTCAACATGGATTACATCTATTGGTAGGCTCATCTGTACCGTCATCTTGTCACGATTCAGCGTTTGTGCCTTTTCCTTTACTCCCAAAGTTTGTCCATAATTTCTCCCCTTTTTCTGTCCGCAGGTGTATTATTAGCTTGCCAGATGCAATACCTATGTATGGGATGTAATAAATCAAAAACCTACCGACGTAGCTATTTGCGCACGCGCCATACAGTTTGTGCGATTGATTGCCTAAAATGTCTTTCCTTTCATTCAGCTTACTACTCCTCTGTAGCCGCAAAATAAAGATTTTTCCCTGCAGCGTACCTGAATTCCTCATACAGCTGTTGAGCCGACATTCCAGCCCTAGGCTACCACTTGAATTTTTACCCATTTATTCAACAGGTATATTTTATGATACCTATTATTGAGAATTATGTATATCTCACAGCCTTTATGACACCTGGCGCCTGCCTGCATTCAGTATAACCACTTCACTTTATGAAGTTCTCTGTAAGTATTGAATCTTTGGGATAAAAAGGGGTGTTTACAGTCCATGGATTGGAGCTAGACAAACAGGGAAAGAGTCAATCGGCTTGAGGTGTCACAGCGTCCAAACTTTGACTTCCTCTTGGCGCTGGCTCTTTTTATAGCCGTCATGTCGGTACTCTCACCTCGTTATGTGACGATTATGGGCCAACCGCCAACCCCGGCCGCCTCACGAACCTGACATAAACGCTTGGCAATAAACTCTATCATGTCTGCCCGTTGGCGGGTTAGATCGGTCCCGTCAAAGGAGGC